ATTATCTAATTTTAATGTTTGCAAATTCATATTATATGATGACAGTGTCACACCAGTGTTGTCAAAATTGCCAGTCCAATCATTTTATTGGACTCTGGACCGTTTGGACCGGTCCAGTCCAATAAGTCCAGTCCAATTGGCGCAGTAAAAAAGTGGCTTAGTTGTACATTGGACCAGTCCAATTGGTATTGGACTGGACTTGTTGGACTGGACTGGACTGGACTAGACTTTATTTGGACTTTGTCATACAAAAGATAAAAAATTCTCTCAAATAATTTTATTACTGTAAAGAATGTAATCACATACAATTTATTACTCTTTCAATGCCTCGAGGAAGTAACCAATCTTTCATGTTTTACCTGATAAACCAAATGGTTATAATCATTTGGGTATTTGCATTGCTTGTAAAAGCTCTAATATAAATATCAATGAATTGAAAATAACTTTAACTAAAAAAACTTGTCGTAATCATTTGTTGAATTGTAAATTTTTCTGAAATAATTTTTCAAATGAGGAAGAATGGTTAAATTGGGTTGCTGATAATGATACAGAAACTATAATTGAAAATGAACTTTATGATAATGATGAAGGTTTTATTAATACATCATCTAATGAAATAAATAATTTACAAAATCCTTCTACTCCAAATAAAAAAAGACTCTTGGGTATGAATTTTAGTGTATTTATTTATTAAAAAAAAATAAGATAAAAATAATAACTTTTTTAAATATCATTAATAGATATTAATACAAATAGAAAGTCAAATGTAAAAAATATTCAATCATATCTTTCTCGTTCTATTAAAGGCAATGACATGAAAAAATTTGAACAATTATTAATTCACATGACAGTCTCCAATGGATTTTCTTTTCAATGGATAAATAATCCAGAAACAAAAGAACTCTTTTCTTGGTTAAACCCAACAATACAACTACCAGATCGTAGAACATTAGGTGGTAGAATTTTGAATGAAGAAGCAAATAAATTAAAAAAAGATTTAGAAATGATTGCTAAAAAAGATGAACTTGGTGTGTCTGTTATTTTTGATGGTTGGACCAGTGTCAGAAAACAAAAGATATTGGGTACAATATTAGTAACATCATCTGGTCGTAATCTTATATGGAAAGCTGAAGATATTAGTACTGAAAGATCTCAATGGACTGATGTATATTCTTATATTGAAAATATTATTGATGAATTTGCTGAACAGGGTATAAAAATGAATTGTTTAGTAACATATTCAGCAGGTGA